TAGATCATCAGTCAGTGCTTCAAGTCGTCTTCATTTTCAGCAAGCAAAATTGTGTCATCTGCATATTGTAGTTTGTTAATGAGTCTTTCTCTAATCCTGATGCCACATTCTTTTTCATATAGTTCAGCTTCTTGGATTATTTGCTAAGCATACCAATTGAGTAAGTAAGGTGAAAGGATACAACCCTGCACACATCTTCTCCAATTTTAATTGGAATTTCCAATTTTAATTTAATGAAAAATTGGTTACAGACTACTGAACTATGAATTCCTTTTGGTCTAATGTCCCAGAAACCTGTACGTTATTTGGTTTGTGGATGATAACAGACAAGTTGGAAAGGGATAATACGTTGCCCTTGGACGGTTGGTTTGAACAATGGAAATACTTGACGTTTTCAGGAAAGTTTTACTTTGTTTGTGAACTTTAGGGCTTTTTGTTCCCCTGCCAGCAGTTTCTTTGACAGCCTTGTTTTTCTGTTGGGTTTCAGTCTAATTTACCAGCAATCTTTAGCATTTATGTAAAACAACCTGCTCTAAAGTTGGCCTAAACTTTGCAATTACTCAGCTTTTCTTTAATTAATTTGTATATGTGGTCCACAATTTCTATATAATTTATAATTTTCAATAAATAATCCATAACTTAACAGATAATTTTATGCCACTCAGCCTAGTAAATGAACATCACATTCCTCACATTCTAAAAACTTGAAATAAATCGTGTGGAAAATTGGATGAATCTTGCTCTACAGAACATAAATGCTTTAATATGCTTTAAACCATATTAGCTGGATTGTCTTTGGAAGGAATTGAAACACTTAATTGATATTAGAGCTAGTAGTGTTTTTTTCTCCTTTTTTTTTTAATTGTGATTTGGGTGAAAGTTTACAGAGCAAATTCACTTTACATACAGCAGCTCACATACACTTTGCCTCATGACATTGACTGCAATTTCCCACAATGCAACAGCTTCCCTCTAACTTCCTCCTCCCCATAGTTACCTCTCCCCTGAGTCCTTCCCTCCATGCACTCCTGCCCAGTGAGCTATTTCCCTGTGTATACACAGCCCTTCCATTCTCCCATGATTGTTCTCTCCAATGAGTATATCTACCTAATGTAAATGTTCACTTCATATGCCTGTCTCTTGTTTGGCTTGAAGCCACAGATCTTTCTCCTTATTTTCATGCCTTTGATTTGAAAGAGTGATAAATAATGTACAACTCCTAGATGTAATTGAAAGGAGCTCTGTTGGTGTAGTGGTTAAGATATTTTCTTGTAAACCAGAATGTTGGCAGTTTGAACCCACTAGCCACTCCATGGAAGAAAGAAGAGCCAGTCTGCTTCCATAAAGATTTACAGCCTTGGAAACCCAATGGGGATCTTTATGAGTCAGAATTGACTCAATGGCAGTGACTTTGGTTTTTTTGGTGAGATATAATTGATATAATTTCTCATATCTTAAAATGACTTGGCCTGACATGTTAAGAAAGGGAGCCACAGGAATAAATGAGAATCCATAACTTCCCAGAGTTTCTTTTGATTAACTGTTGATAAAGGCACAAGTTGATGTATCTCAACTAGAGGAGCAATGCCAAGGGCAAGCAAGCATAGAGTGATATCAATAGGTGCTCTCCACCTATGGATCTGAATTCTTCTTGGTTATGAACTCCTTCAGAAATCAGGGTGAAACCATGACATGCTTGTCAGAAAACTACACATTTTCTCCTTTCCACAAAGCTTGACATGGAATTCCAGGGAGATCATGTGAACTCCCTAAATTCCCTCCATCGACACCTATCCTCCAGTAGTCTGTGGATCCCATGTCTTTAGGGTCCACTGAATACAAGGATACTTCTTCTTAGTAGGCTTGAACACATTTAATTTTTTGTAATGGCAATGAGATGGGCATTTCTGGAAACCAGGAAACAAAGACTGGTCAGAGGATTTTGCCTACCCTTTAAGAATTAGTACATAAAATGTCACACATTAATTAAAGAGTACAGACTCGGCCACTCACATGTCACCTTACTGTGTCTGCTGCAATTGGGCTCTACTGGATGGATGTTCCTATGTAGTTTAAAACACTCCGTTTTCTTTTAAATTTATTTGGATCTACTGATATTCCCTAAAACCATTCCTCTGATTGTCCCAAATATTAAGTACTTCCTCACTTCACACCCACTAACACAAAACCAAACCCACTGCCAAGTTAATTTCAATTCATAGTGACCCACTTGGGTTTCCAAGGCTATAAATCTTAATGCAAGTAGATTCCCTCATCTTCCTCCCTTGGAGCAGCTGGTGGATTCGAATTGCCTACCTTCTGGTTAGCAGCCCAATGCCTTAACCACAGCTCCACGAGAGCTCCTTTCATACCCACTAAGATGTCTGTAATCAAGAAGGCAGATAATAACAAGTATTGGTGAATATATGGAGAAATAAGAACCTTCTTACACTGCTGTTTGGAATGCAAAATGATATACCTGCTTCCTATAGTTCTTTGGGAGCTCTGGGAGCATAGTGCCTAAGGCACTTGACTGCTAACCACAAGGCTGGTGGTTCAAACCCACCAGCCACTCCTTGGAAGGAAGGTTGGGCAATCTACTTCTGTAGAAATACCACCTTGGAAACCCAAGGAGGGGTCGCTATGAGTCATGTATGACTGGACAGCACATAACAACAACAATAGTAGTTCTTCAAAAGGCTAAACACAGAGATGCCATATGACCCCTCAGCTCCACTCTTAGGTATATGCCCAAGAGAATTGAAAATGTGTGTTCACACAAAAAACTTGTTATGAATGATCATAACAGTATTATTCATAGTATCTCAAAAGTGGGAGCAACCCAAATGTCCTTCAACTGATGAATGAATATAGAAAATATAGTATATCCCTACAATAGAATATTATTCATCAGTAAAAAGAAATGAAGTACTGATAGATGTTACCATATAGATGAAATCTGAAAACATTATGATGAGTGAAAGAAGTCAGTCACAAAAGATGACATATTATATGATTCCATTCATATAGAATGTTCAGAATAGGCAAATCCATAAAGACAAAGTAGATTGGTGGTTGCCTAGTGCTGGGTGTACAAATATTGTGGACAATGGCAAGTGACTGCTAATGGAGATAGGATTTCTTATATGAGTGATGAAAATGTTCTAAAATTTCTTGTGCTGTTGGTTGCACAAATATCCAATTATGTTAAAAGCTATTGAATTATATACTTTAATGGGTAAGTGTATAGTACATGAATTATTTCTCAATGAAGCTGTTACCAAAAAAAAAAAAAAAAAATACAGACTCTGGAGCTAGACTGCTTGGGTTCAAATCCCAATGGAAGTTCTAGTGTCCTGAACAAAGATTTGGGTGCAAGTACTACATTGAGGAAGATATCCCAGAAAGCATAGTCAAGAAGCAGGAAGTGACACAGGGAATGAAGAAAAGCCAGTAAAAGGGTAGGAACCCTGGTGGCATAAACAACTAAGTGCTCAGCTGCTAACTGAAAGGTTGGTGGTTCAAACCCTCGTAGGAGCTCCGTGGGAGAAAAGACCTGGCAAACTGCTTCTGTAAAGATTACAACCTAGAAAACCTTATGGGGCAGTTCTACTCTGTCACATGGCTTCACCATGAGTCAGAATTGACTCAACTTCACTTAACAATAACAACAAATGATTGAGTTATTCTTGTGGACAGCTGGGGGTCAATCCTTCTGGGCCCCTCAGAAAATTGTTCAGACTACAGAATTCTCCTCTGAAGGGATGAAACAAAATGGCTTGGTCCTGAGAGTATTGACTCCCCAGTACATCAAGCTGGCCCCACATGCAGACCAACATGCTCCACCAACCAGAGAGGAAGAGAGAGAGAAAGAGACAGAAGGGAGAGAGAGATGCAGGACCCTGTGGTAGGAAGCAGTCAGAGTGCACAGGAAACTCTCCACCAAACCTACATGTACTGTTACAGCCAAGACATTGGCAATGTCTGCTTACATGGGTGTTCCTTAACCTCTCTGTACTGCAATTTCCTCATCTTTAAAATAGGGACAATAATACCAGTTGTTGTTGAGTTGATTCCAACTCATGGCAATCCCATATGTGTCAAAGCAGAACTGTGCTCCATAGGGTTTTCACTGGCTGATTTTTCAGCAGGTGATGGCCAGGACTTTCTTCAGCACTGCCTCTGGGTGGACTGGAACCTCCTACATTTGGGTTAGTAATCAAGCATGTTAAGTTTGCACCACCCACAGGCTCTGGGGAAAATAATAGTCACTACCTTATAAGGATGTGATGAGGGGTTAATGAGTTAATGTATCTGACATATTTAAGAGAGTCAAGAATACTCATTTATCTTTTAAAATTTATAGTTCATCCATTATCATTTCTCTTCTGAATGACTTTCTATCAAAATAGAGAATAAATCTATCGTAAGGCTCAAAAAGAAATAGAATCATTACCGAGAACTCTCCTCTTGTTAGACCACCTCTGTGTGTTATCAGCCTCAAATGGCTGCCTTTTGAAATATGCCATGTGCTTTGTTTGCACATTAAACAAACTATCCCACTAAGTTCTGTTATTGGAGCAACTCTAAAATCTTTCTCATTCTTACTGTTCTATTTTGTGGAAACTGTTGGTGGGACCCAGACAAGGGCAGTCCATCACAGCCCTCTCTGTGTTTTCCTTTGTGTCTCCTCATATTTTCCCAAAGCTGTCTTCTGAGGATAGTAGACCCTGGGGAGCTTTCTGTCTGTGAAACTTCTGCAGTCTAGGATTGAAGCCAGTAGCTGCAGTCCCAGCACTTCTGAGTTCTACTTCTGTCAAAGGCATTTACATTCAATATGTTTCATTGCTTGGGAAGTTTAAAATAGCCCAGTTGGAAAACTAGCCAGGCAGAAATAGGGTTAAAAGGAATCCCAACTGTGTTACGTCGCACTCAAGCTGTCATGATTAAAATTTAATTTAATGATTTGCTCACCCAAGAAAATCTCTGGATTGTTTCAGGCTGTGACTCTTCAATTAACCTGACATTGCACAAATCCCAAATCGCTGTGGATGAACTCTTTACTTCACTTCGGGACATTGCTGGCGCTCGGAATCTCATGAAACAGTTTAAGTCTGTATATGTTCCTGGAAGTCATACCCATCAGGCAAGTTCATATGTTTTAAAGTCACTTTCTAATCTGTGTTGTATTCTTAAGTCTCAGAGTCTACAACCACAAA